CCATGATTCACACAGATCATGCCATGCCAGGTCCGCGCACTTGAACACTGCATGTGGCATGGTTGAGCAGAGTGCATCAGACATGGACGAACAAAATGTCTGTGGAAAACACATGGAACACAAACCGCGTGTCTGCTGGGAATCCCAACCTCAGAGCCTTTGACTAAAACTCTATCATAGAGTAGAGGGGCATGCTGGGAACAAGCCTGTAGCGACACACCTAGGTTGATGTGAGTCGAGGTTGTTTCTTGAAATTATGTCTGTGAAAAACACATGGAACATATACCGCGTGTCTGTCGGGAATCTCAACTTCAGAGCCCTTGAGTGAAACCCTAAAATAAAGGGGCATGCTGGGAACAAGCCTATAGCGACACACCTAGGTTGATGTGAGTCGAGGTTGTTTACTTAAAATATATCTGTGGAAAACAAATAAAACACATACCACGTGTCTGCTGGGAATGAAACCCGGCACTCACCCAGGCTGGACAAGGCCCGTGTCTGCAATGATCTTTGCTGGACATGGACATGCCAAGGCCTGTGTCTGCAATGATCTTTGCTGGACATGGGCATGCCAAGGCCCGTGTCTGCGATGATCTTTGCTGGACATGGGCATGCCAATGCCGCAGCTGGGACAGGAGAGGAGGGAAGGGAGGATTACTGGAGGGAAGGGGGGGAGTGAAGGGATGCGTATAATGCACAAAGTAATTTGACACTACGATTAGCCAAATTACTGAGGTAAGCGTTGCAAATGCATCACATTGGTGATGGATTCACGCATTGGAGACGGAGGGGGAGGGGAGGAATGTGAGCGTGGAGGGGAGGAATGCGAGCGCGGAGGGGAGGAATGCGAACGCAAAGGGGAGGAATGCGAGGGCGGAGGGGAGGAATGTGAGCGCAGAGGGGAGGAATGTGAGCGTAGAGGGGAGGAATGTGAGCGCGAACAGGAGGAATGTGAGCGCGGAGGGGAGGAATGTGAGCGCGGAGGGTAGGAATGTGAGCGCAGAGGGGAGGAATGTGAACGCGGAGGGGAGGAATATGAGCGAGGAGGGGAGGAATGCGGAGATAACTACTACAACGGGAGCTAGACTACGGGCTAGGCACGGGTGCTCGTGTGATCTCTGCGTTCGTTGGTCCTTAGTCGTTTTCCTAGTGTACACACTGCTTGCTAGTTCACAAGGTAATTTGGCAAGAGTTTTACTAGAGAAAGTTGACAACAATGATACAATGAAGTTGGCAAGGCAAGACTACATCAGAGCTAGCATGCAAGCAGGACGACTGCCAGCGCAGCACGGTCGACCGCGTGCCAGCACGACCTGGTCGACCGCGCCCCAGCAGTGCAGAGTCGCGGCTTGCCAACACTGCAGGTCGATGGCGTGCCAACGTCGCAGGTTGACGGCGCGCCGACGTTGCTCCCGCAGGACAGCAGCGCACCTACTTCGCAGATGATTGGCGTGCAGTGCCTCGTCACCTGCACAGCGCACACACCACATCAACTACGTGCTGACGACTGCCTCTGATGCACCACGTCGACCTCGGGATACCATCACCGAGGTCGTCCTCGCCAAAACCACCCGGGCGAACGTCGCATGCCTCCGCAGAACCTCGTCACCCAGGTAACCTGGTCGACCGAGCAACCAGGTCGACCAGAGGCTCCTGTGCGTGCCCGTCGACCACCCAGGTCGACGACCACTTCCGGTCGACCTCCCCAGGTCGACCACTGCCTCTGGTATGTGCCGGTCGACCTCCCAAGTCGACGACCACCTCCAGTCGACCTCCCCAGGTCGACCACTACCCCCTGGTCGACCAGCTCCAAGTCGACGTCACTCCAGGTCGACCAGAAGGTCTGGCCGACTCCTCAGGTCGACCAGAAGGGCTGGTCGACTTACCGGGTCGACCAGAAGGTCTGGTCGACTTCCCAGGTCGACCAGAAGGGCTGGTCGACTTACCAGGTCGACCAGAAGGTCTGGTCGACTTCCCAGGTCGACCAGAAGGGCTGGTCGACTTACCAGGTCGACCACCCGAAGTTGGCGCCCTCACGAAGTCGGCGCCCATGCAGTGGCTCCCTGTGCAGGTCGACCAACCTCGTCGACCAACTCGCCCACTGCTGCAGGTCGGCTGCACCCTACACCCGACCACGAAGTCGGCACCGCCCAAGCGAGGACGGGGCCAACATACAACTCCCGTTGACAAGGAATGTGAGCGCGGAGGGGAATAATGTGAGTTCGGAGGGGGAGGGGAGGAATGTGAGCGCGGCGGGGAGGAATGCGAACGCGGAGGGGATGAATGTGAGCGCGGAGGGGAGGAATGTGAGCGCGGAGGGGAGGAATGCGAGCGCGGAGGGGAGGAATGCGAGCGCGGAGGGGAGGAATGTGAGCGCGGAGGGGAGGAATGTGAGCGCGGAGGGGAGGAATGCGAATGCGGAGGGGAGGAATGTGAGCACGGAGGGGAGGAATGCGAATGCGGAGGGGAGGAATGTGAGCGCGGAGGGGAGGAATGTGAACGTGGAGGGGAGGAATGTGAGCGCGGAGGGGAGGAATGTGAGCGCAGAGGGGAGGAATGTGAGTGCGAAGGGGAGGAATGTGGGTGTGGAGGGGAGGAATGTGGGCGCGGAGGGGAGGAATGTGGGTGTGGAGGGGAGGAATGTGGGCGCGGAAGGGAGTAATGTGGGCAGATGAGGCGGTGCGCCACTCCAAGGCATGGCGGGCGAGAGAGGGGCGACGAGGCGCGTACACAGGTAACTCATGGCCATGCAACATTGGCGCTCGTACGGATACTGTTTTCTTTCCGAGTCTAGATTTTGTCCGTCAGCATCTATGTCTATCGCATCGATCCGATAGAACATGGTTCGATAGGGCATTGATCATTGTTGGCATTGATGAAGGTTCGATAGGGTCTTTCCCTCTCGAACGAAATGTGTTTCTCCGTGTTTTACTCTACTGCTAAGAATTTGGGTTCTGAGATCGTTCTGAGCACTTAATTTTACATTGAGCGGAATTCTACCACTGTTGATCCTTTGCTTTAAGTCTACTACACGCACGCAACTCAATGAGATATGTTAGAAACTCGCATCAATCTGACAGAACACGGTCATTAATATCCACTGACTTGCTGTGCCTTACATTGCGCCTTCTGTTACGATGACAAGACCTCATTGCAGGCGACCCCGTGGATGCGGAGGGATTCAACCTACGGTACTATCCTATACTATCTTGCTCCTCCTAAGCGTTATTATGTCTATGCAGGCTTCCCTGAAATGTGTGCGAGTGATGCACGAGCGAGTAGGATGTGTTGATGGAGGCAAATGAGGTTGGCGTAATTGCCGCTAGCGTGAGATTTCAATCGAGAGGATGTTTTCCTCTGCTCTTGCACTTCAACATTCAGTCTTGAGTTGTTTTGCATTTAGTAGTGCTGGGCTGGCGATTCTTTCAATGGCTGAGGTCGCCCGAAGTCGCAGAATAGCTTTTCTGGGCTGGTTTGGTGAGGTGACCAATCGAAACGCATCACAACCCAACCTGTGACTTCGGAGCAGATAACATAGTAACCAGCCATCAAGTGTTTTGCGGTTGACCCACAATTTCCAGTACTTGAGATCCTGGCTTTAACGCTCTCTCGCACTTACACCCTCCCTCTTCACACTCTCATGCTCAGACGCGCGTCTACCTACCTTGGAGACCAGGTGAAGAAAGGAAGGACGTGTGTTTAGATCTACAGCGCAGCTCTGGAAAGAGGACAGAGAAAGTGGGAGGGAAAAAAGGAAGAAATGTAATAGAGCAACGGATGAAATCGGGAGAAAGGAGAGACGACCACATAATTGTGCCCAAGGCACAACGCCTTGGTTGACGCACCACCAGGACTGGCATCAGCCCGCAGGCGTTAGCGTCGTGGGAGATAGCACGAAAGGAGCCAGCCACGTTGCCAACTCCCAAGGCGCCAGTAGTACCAGCGCCTTAGGCGCAGGGCGCAGCGGCAAGGTTTCTCTGGAGCGCAAGCCGACATCGTGCTGGGCTCACTGCAAGGTGGCAGCGCGCAAGGCGCGGCATGGCGCCGCGTTGCATTTTGGCGCCGTGCTGCAAGGCGCTGGAGTAAACAAGAAGACATGGCTCTTTTACTCACGAGCACGAGCACGGTGTCTGTCACGGGCCTTTGCCACGAGTGCTAGTCACGGGCGCTGCACTTCTCACGAACGGTTGTTGCCAACAATAGGAACGAGAGAAAACAGGTTTATAGTGCGAGTAACAAAAAATGGATGGAAAAAGAAGTGGATGATGTCAAACATTATATATGTTATGCTTGTGTAGGCTACAGTGGGTTAGCCTATACGGGGTACACAATTCTAGGGTTAGGTACTTGTACTGTTTTGCACTGTTAGTTCATCATTCCTGTTCGTTCTTTCCGACATGGTTTCAGAGCAGGTCCTTCGCTAGGACCGCTTTTTTTTAGGGCCCACCACTACCTACCTACCTACCTACCTACCTACCTGCGCCCTAGGGCGCCTCGTTTTTCACGGCCCCCTAAGGCCCCGCGACCCGCGCGCCGCCCCTTACGGCCCCGAACGGCCCCGCGCTCGCTCCTAGCGGCCCCGATCGGCCCCGCGCTCGCCCCTTACGGCCCCGAACGGCCCCGCGCCCGCCCCTTACGGCCCCGAACGGCCCCGCGCCCGCCCCTTACGGCCCCGTACGGCCCCGCGCTCGCCCCTAGAGGCCCCGAACGGCCCCGCGCTAGCCCCTAGCGGCCCCGATCGGCCCCGCGCTCGCCCCTTACCGCCTCGCACGGCCCCGCGCTAGCCCCTAGAGGCCCCGTACGGCCCCGCGCTCGCCACTAAAGGCCCCAACGGCCCGCGACCGCTACAGCCGCCCGATCTAAGCCGAGCCGCGCGACCCGAACCGAGCCGCCCAGACCGAGCCGAGCCGCGCGCCCCGAACCGAGCCGCGCCGCCCTAGCCGAGCCGCACTGTCCTACCTGCTACTCCTACTGCTGCTACTGCCACTGCTACTGCTGCTATGGCTACTCCTCCTGTACTCGCTTTTGATGCTGAGGGCCGCCCAGTGAAGTTTGACACCTGGCTCGATGACCTGCACCTCTACCTACAGCTCACTGCCAAGGAAGATATTTCACTGTACGATCACGCCCTAGGCCACGCTACTGCACCTCCTACTACTGCTGACAGCACTCAGCGCTCACAGTGGCAGACTCGTGACGCTCACGCTCGCTTTGCCATTCGCAACTCCCTGCCGCTAGATGAGCGCGAGCACTTTGGCCAGCACAAGACTGCTAAGGACCTGTACACTGCTGTAGTTGCTCGTTACTCCTCGCCTGCTTCTGCCGCACTAGGCCGCCTCTCCCTCCCCTACCTGTTCCCCGACCTGGCCTCCTTCCACACCGTTGCTGACCTCATCACCCACCTCAAGACTAGTGAGGCCCGCTTCCGCGCTGCTATGCCTGCCGAGTTCCTAGCTAACAACCCCCCCCCGCTCTGGCTCGTTCTCTACCACCTAGTCACCCGCCTCCCTGACTCTCTGCGCGCAGTCAGGGACCAGTTTCTAGCTCGCTGCCCCACTGAGCTCACCATTGCCCTCCTCGAGAAGGAGCTACTTGCAGCCGAGGCGAGTGTCGTCGCTGTAGGTGCCTCTCGTGGTGACCCCCGCACTCCTTTCTTTGAGGGGTGTTCCCCTTCCCCCCTCCTTCCCTCTGTCGCCTCTGCTTCTGCTGTCGACCTTCTTGGTGCTGAGAAGGTCGGGACCGCGTCTGCTACAAGCGGGCGCCGCAGGACGAAGGGGGGCAAGGGTGGAGGTGGCGGCGGAGGAGGTGGGGGTGGAGGCGGTGGGAGTGGAGGAGGGGCTGGAGAGGCTAGTGGCGGTAGTGGGGGTGGTGACGGCAGCGGCGGGGGTGGTGGCAGGGGCGGGGGCGGCGGTGGGGGCGGAGGTGGTCGTGGCAGCGGCAGGGGAGGCGGTGGTCGCGGAAGTGGCGGCAGTGGTGGTGGCCGTGGAGGCGCTGGCGGTGGTCTGAGCCAGCAGCACACTCCGTCGCTCCAGGAGGCCCGTGAGTGGTATGCCCAGCGTCTTAGCTGCACGTATGTCATCCGCACTGGTGACCGCACTGGTCAGCAGTGTGGGAGGCCGCACCCCACGCAGCGCTGTTTCGCGCGCCTTACTGACGCTTGGCGCACCCAGTTCCCTGATGGCGCTGAGCTGCCCCGCTGGGCTGATCTGGAGAGGAAGGGGGTTGATATCTGGGCTCTAGACTTTGATGCTATTCTCACTGCCATGTATGCCATGTTTACTAGTGGAGAGGGTGCTCAGTACTTGTGTGTTCCGCCCGACCCGGGCATTCTGACCAGTGAGACTGCCGCTCCAGGTGCTAGTGAGACTGCCGCTGCAGGTACTTGCGTGTCTGCTCCCTCAGGTGATGGTGAGGCTGTCGCTCTAGGTGCTCGTGCGTCTGTCCCCCCTGGTACTGAGTCGACTGAGGCACTGCACACCTTCACCCTGGACTCAGGTGCTTCACGCTGTTTCTTTCGTGACCGCACTGTCCTTGAGCCACTCGCTCGGCCAGTTGCTGTCTCCCTCGCTGACCCCTCTGGGGGTCCGGTCATTGCGACCTCCTCCACTGTCCTTCCCTGTCCGGCGGTCCCGTCCGGCACACTGTCAGGGCTCTACCTCCCCTCGTTCTCTACGAACTTGGTCGCAGGTAGCGCGCTCCAGGACGGGGGTGTTCACCAGTTCACCCCTGCCTACGAGCGTGTGACACACTGCACGTGTGCTCGGACGGGTCGTCACCTGGCTACCTTCACTCGGGAGCCAGGGTCGGACCTGTACACACTGACCACTGGGTCCCCACAGGTGGCTGCGTCTGCGTCTGCGTCAGGTCAGCTGTCCGCCCCCTGCTCGTGTCGGTCTCTCGCGCACGACACCGTCCTCTGGCACCACCGACTTGGCCACCCGTCCGTGCAGCGCCTTCGGACCATGCACCAGCGGTACCTTGTCTCTGGTCTTCCCAGGGTTCTCCCTCCCCTCCCACCCTCGCCGGCTCCTCCCTGTATTCCCTGTGTCGAGGGGCGGCAGCGCGCCGCTCCTCACTCTTCTGCGTTTCCCCCGACGGAGGCTCCTCTGCAGACACTGAAAACCTGGACGTGTGGGGCCCCGCCCGCGTCCGTGGACAGGGCGGGGAGCGCTACTTTCTGCTGGTAGTTGACGACTACACGCGCTACACCACGGTCTTCCCCTTGCGCACCAAGGGTGAGGTCCCTGATGTCTTGATCCCTTGGATCCGCGCTACTCGTCTCCAGCTGGAGCGGCGCTTTCGCTCGGACCTTCCGGTCCTGCGACTGCACTCTGATAGGGGCGGTGAGTTTTCCTCCGACCTCTTGAGCGCCTTCTGTCAGGAGGAGAGCGTTGAGCAGACGTTCACGCTTCCGGCCTCTCCGCAGCAGAATGGGGTTGCTGAGCGCCGCATTGGCCTGGTCATGGAGGTCGCTCGTACCTCCTTGGTCCATGCGGCTGCCCCCCATTTTCTGTGGCCGTTTGCTGTCCGGTACGCCGCGCATCAGCTCAACCTATGGCCCCGTGTCTCCGCTCCGGAGACCTCGCCGACACTGCGTTGGACGGGAGAGGTTGGCGATGCGTCGGTGTTCCGCGTCTGGGGATCTCGTGCCTTTGTCCGCGACACGTCCGCGGACAAGCTCTCTCGTCGAGCTGTCCCCTGTGTCTTCCTTGGCTTTGTCCCTGACGCGTCTGGCTGGCAGTTTTACCACCCTGTCTCGCGCCGTGTCTTCCCCTCTCAGGACGTCACGTTCGACGAGTCGGTCCCCTTCTACCGTCTCTTCCCCTACCGCACTGCCCCGCTCCCCCCTCCGCCTCTCTTCCTCGCGCCAGGTGCTGCTGTTGTAGAGCCCCTCCCCCCTCAGGGTGCCGCTCCCTCAGGTGTGTCTCAATAAGACCCCGTTGAGCCTGTCGAGGTAGCCGTCGAGTCGCGTCCTCCTCGGGGTACTGAGCCTGGGGGTGCTGAGACTGGGGGTGCTGAGCCTGGGGGTGCTGAGACTGGGGGTGCTGAGCCTGGAGGTGCTGAGCCTGGAGGTGCTGAGACTGGGGGTGCTGAGCCTGGAGGTGCTGCGCCTGGGGGTGCTGGGCCTGGGGGTGCGGAGCCTGGGAGTGCTGAGTCTGGTGGTGTTGAGTCTGGTGGTGCTGAGCCTGAGCGTGCTACTCCTGGAGGAGCCCTCTCCTCCCAGCAGCTGCAGGAGAGGTACCTCCAGTACTGCAGCCTCCGGAGGGGTGCTCCTGGCGCCGGTACCCGTGCTTCCCCACCTCCCCGGGAGCTCCCCTCCCTTCAGCAGATCCGAGAGTGGTACACGCGGCGCTGCAGTCTTCGGAGTGGAGCCCGTGGTGCCGCGGACCCGGGCGGTGGAGCTGCTGCTAGTGCTGAGGACTCGGACGGTGGAGCTGCTGCTGGTGCTGGGGACCCGGACGGTGGAGCTGCTGCTGGTGCTGCGGACCCGCACGGTGGAGCTGCTGCTGGTGCTGCGGACCCGGCCGGTGGAGCTGCTGCTGGTGCTGCGGACCCGGACGGTGGAGCTGCTGCTGGTACTGAGGACCCGGACGGTGGGGCTGCTGCTGGTGCTGAGGACCCGGACGGTGGAGCTGCTGCTGGTGCTGAGGACCCGGACGGTGGAGCTGCTCCTGGTGCTGAGGACCCGGACGGTGGAGCTGCTGCTGGTGTTGAGGACCCGGACGGTGGAGCTGCTGCTGGTGCTGGGGACCCGGGCGGTGGAGCTACTGCTGGTGCTGAGGTCCCCGGTGCTGGTGTCCCTGCTGGCTCTGGAGACGCTACGAGGCCGCGACCGTACTTCGTCCCGCTCCTTCAGCAGGTTCTTGGTCAGGCTCCTCCTCCTTGTCCTCCTCCCTCCGTAGAGTGTCTGCAGCCTGTCCAGTCGCAGTCACAGTTCCCGCCTACCCCGCCTTTCCCTGGTCCCTCTCCTTACACCGGTCCCACAGGAGGTCTTACCGAGCGTCGTGAGCCTGCGTCTCGTCCTGCGTCGCCTGTTCGTCCTGCGCGCACTAGTCGTCGTGGCACACGTGAGCGTCCTCCTCCTGTCCCTGGCACTCACTACATGACACTGCGTCGCTCCACTGCTCCTCAGCGTGTCCCTCTGCCGTCTCCTCCTGCGTCCTCTCTCCCTACTCTTCCTGACCCGGAGTCTGACTCCCGTCGTGCTGCCAGTCCCACAGTCACGCGTCTCCTCGCCACTGTTGTCACTGACCCTACCTTTGAGTCCTCTGCTGCGTCTGCTCTGGTCGCTGAGTTGGTTGACTTTGCTGCCGCGTGCCGTCTAGACTTCGCCGCTAGCCTTGTTGCTGAGTCTGAGTCTGTCTGTCCTCCGTCCGTCGGGGGTGAGTGTGCTCTAGGCACGGACGTCCTTGAGGACAGGCAGGAGGAGTTCCAGTGCTTTGCTGCTGCTTTGCCCCATCTTGTGTCCATGCTAGTTGCCCCTGAGGGAGACCCGGATGCACCAGACATCCCGACCCCGCGCTCTTACGCAGAGGCGGTGGCAGGTCCCTACTCCTCTCAGTGGCAGACAGCCATGGACGCAGAGATGGCTTCCTGGAAGTCCACAGGCACCTACGTCGACAAGGTTCCCCCACCTGGGGCGAACATCGTCAGTGGCATGTGGATTTTCAGGGTGAAGCGGCCGCCTGGTTCTCCGCCTGTCTTCAAGGCACGCTACGTTGCTCGAGGCTTCAGTCAGCGCGAGGGAGTAGACTTCTTCCAGACCTTCTCCCCCACCCCGAAGATGACTACTCTTCGGGTGCTGCTGCACATAGCCGCTCAGCGAGACTACGAGCTTCACTCTCTTGACTTCAGTACTGCTTTCTTGCAGGGCATTCTTCACGAGGAGATATGGCTGCGCCGCCCTCCTGGCTTCACTGGGTCGTTCCCTCCTGGTACCCAGTGGAGGCTCCAGCGGCCAGTCTACGGTCTCCGCCAGGCGCCACGTGAGTGGCACGACACACTGAGGACGACACTCGCGGCACTTGGGTTCGCTCCTTCTACTGCTGACCCGTCGCTGTTTCTACGCACTGACACCTCGCTGCCGCCGTTCTACATCCTCGTGTACGTCGACGACTTGGTCTTTGCCACTGCTGACACTCACGCACTCGCCCACGTGAAGTCGGAGCTGCAGAAGCGACACACGTGCACAGACCTGGGTGAACTGACAAGCTACCTTGGCTTGCGGATCACTCGGGACAGAGCACGGCGCACCATCACCTTGACTCAGTCACACATGGTGCAGCAGGTCCTTCAGCGCTTCGGCTTCACGTACTCCTCGCCCCAGGCCACTCCTCTGCCTACAGGTCACTCGCTCTCAGCTCTGCCTTCGGATGAGTCCGTAGAGTCGAGTGGCCCGTATCCAGAGCTTGTTGGCTGCCTCATGTACCTGATGACCTGCACTCGACCTGACCTTGCATACCCTCTTAGCATCCTTGCACGCTATGTCGCTCCTGGCCGTCACAGGAAGGAGCACATGGATGCCGCTAAGAGGGTGTTGCGCTACTTGTGCAGTACGTCGGGCATGGGGCTAGTGCTTGGAGGGCGAGACCGTGTTGTACTCACTGGACACTCAGACGCTTCTTGGGCGGACGACCAGGCTACTCAGCGGTCGTCTCAGGGTTACACCTTCAGCCTTGGCTCTGGCTCAGTTTCTTGGCGCTCTACACGCTCTTCTTCTGTTCTCAGCTCCAGTTGTGAGGCTGAGATCTACGCCACAGCCATGGCGGCCCAGGAGCTACGCTGGTTGACCTACCTGCTGACTGACTTGGGAGAGCGGCCTCGTTCCCCTCCAGTGCTGTACGTTGACAACAAGGCTGCCATTGCCTTGTGTGAGGAGCACAGACCGGAGCACAGAACGAAGCACATCGCTCTGCGGTACTTCCTTGCTCGAGAGCTTCAGCAGCGTGGTCAGCTTTGTCTCCGTTACGTGGCCACTGAGGCCAACACTGCTGATGTGTTCACCAAGGCGCTTCAGCCTTGTGACCATCAGCGCTTTTGCACTCTCCTAGGTCTTGTGCCTACTGGACCTCACTTGCTCACTTCTTGACTCTGTCTGTACTGTGATCTTTATATATATACCTGCATGTTTACTCTTGCTAGGTTGTGATCATTGTACCTCTTGCTCTATTATAAACCTGCATGTGAACTGGTCTTGTGACCGCTTGCTTGTGCTCAGAATTTGTGTGGAATCCTTGAGATCCACCCTGAGCTTGTTTTGCCTTGCTCTGCCTTGACTGGTCTTGTGACCCCTAGTTCTCCCCCACTTTGCCTATGGGGGTGTGTCAAACATTATATATGTTATGCTTGTGTAGGCTACAGTGGGTTAGCCTATACGGGGTACACAATTCTAGGGTTAGGTACTTGTACTGTTTTGCACTGTTAGTTCATCATTCCTGTTCGTTCTTTCCGACAGATGAATCCAGTTTTACGAGTGTTGAGTTGAGAACCAGATGGAAACATGTTCCATACGATTCTTGAAGTCGTATTCTTGCTAGTTCATGCGAGCACGTAAAATCTGGCTGTCTAACCACATTCCATCCAGTTCTACTCTGCTATTTCCTGACATGAAACTTTTGATCTGATATGGCGGGCACACTGAAAGAAGATGCAACAGGAGAAAAATCGCAAACCCGAATTCTCCTCGCTACACATTTTATCCCATTCACCTGATACTCGTTTGAGTCCCCCATGGTTGCCCTGTGAAGAGGGCGCTTAAGTGATTTTGCATTTCGCACAGGTTTCATTAATTCGCAGCTAGCAAAACTGGGCTTATAAAAAAATTGTAACGTATCGGTTAACACTTTCACATCGGTCTCTTCAGTTTGACTTCGGTCACTTCGTTACTATTGGTTTATAACCACTGCAACTTGCTCGAGGGCTTGTAATGTGGGTGCAACTGGCTGGTCGAAAAATCACGGGTGCATACTTTCCATCTGATGTAGGGCAAATTCGCGCGCAGGGGTTGAGCATCGTGTGTACCTTCTATTTGTGCAGAGGGATGTGAGAACACCTCTCGAGTTTAGGGCGCGTGTCTTTCGGAGTGCATTTGTAAGTTCATATTTTTTTGTTCAACATTATCCCTTTGAACTTAGGTCAATCTGTAGTCCATTTTTTCGACTATTTGTGATCAAGTCGCGGCATCACCTTTCACATCAAACAGATGAAACAACAAAGTTCGACTATTGATGTTCAACTATATAAGTAGATTCCGATTCGTGCCCAAATTTGGTAGGTTAACTAGTCTAGACGACAACGCTCGTGATGAACCCGGCTAGAGAAAACGGATACGAAATTCACGAAACGGGCTACCAACTTGAAGTTTATTTTTTTTTTCAAACTTCTACACCAAAAGAGACACCTTCGATTCCAAAAGTATTGTTATGCATTTAGTATTGTACGAAGTTAGAAATAATCGTCTATCAGCCTTCAATTTACGAATCTAAAGAATCGGAGTTCAATCGAGTTGCAATAATTACAATATCAATTTGAACAATATTATTTTGCATATTAGAGAAATAATAAACTGCACGAAAAATCAGACTATTTATGTATGTATCAAATAATGCATTGAATGCATGATTAATTTTTTTGAACATGTTAGAAATATTTTTATCCAAGTTTGTTTAATCATGATGTTGGTCGAAACCTGATTTATATCATACACTTAAATGATACATTATAATTTAATACAATTAAACAATAGAATTGATCTTGTGAAGAGTCTATATTTGTTTTTACAAAGTGCCCCTAAGATGCTTGCTATAATTGTGATTATTAATTGTATCACATACTTGCATATAACGCTTCGCGCTTGTAAGCGTTCTTATAGTAAACAGAAATGAGCATTTTGTGGAGTACACGTGGCAGTCAATTTTTTTTTTTTCGGCTGAGTCAAACCCTACTTGTACGGTATACAGTTTGGCTTGAACGTAAAGTTTCCAGCAGGAATTTCGGATGCACTGCTCATTACCATTTATGCAATAATGTTGACCATGTATGCATTTTGGTTACCACGGTGGCAATGAGAGGATACTTTTGTTACAATCTGGACATGTGGCTTACTTTGCGTGCGATCGAGCTCAATGAGTGTTATCGCGGAGGTAATTGGTCGGCAGTTTTGGGAAAATCTCATACTGTGGTCGAACAGTGCCACAAGTAGGGGTGACCAAAATCACGAACGCCTGTTCGGTTCGCCTCGAAGCTTTTTTTTTTTTTTTTTTTTGCCAAAAATATTCGATGTTCGCCCGAACATGTTCGAGGTTCGTCTGGCCCGGCTGGCCAAGTCGCGTCGAACGCGAACGTGGTGTTCGTCAACGAATTTGGCCGCGACCATATTTAGGTCGCGGCCAAATTGAGTTTGAGCTCATTTTAGCAGCTCAAACTCACAACTTCCTAGGCGCCGGCCTCTGGTCTCCCCTAAGCGCCTTAGCCTTAGTGTTTAGAGGGTTTCAAAGTATCATCTTAGGGTTAGTACACGGACCCTTCATAGCATTCATAACCCTTCATAAATTTCTGGAACTTAGGGATTTTTACCTACCGCTTAAGCATTTGAGCATTCTATCCGCCACGAGACGTAGGTTTTTAGGGTTAGTGTTTATGGGACATTGGAAGCTATTCGTAGTCGCGTCAGCGGCACTCGAGCTCTACAACTATCTTACCTCAAGTTTAGGGTTTGGAGTAGATCTATGGCTTCCTCCGGTCATCAAGGAGGTGCTCGAATTCGCGAGAGCGGTACACCGACGTCACAACCACAACCCATGCAAGGGCGAGTAGGGCATGGTCCCGCTGGTGCCCATTGGGGGGTTTCTGGCTGTTCCTGCCCCGACATCTCGTCGATCGTTCCATTACAGTGGCTCCTGGCCCCCTTCAACTGGGCAAATTCGGCGGATTGTGACAGTGAGGAGGAGGATGAGGACGAAGAGGAGGAGAAGGATGAGGATGAGGAGGGGAGCGTGTCAACGGGAGTAGTGTTTGGCCCCGTCCTCGCTTGGGTGGAGCCGACCTCGTGGTCAGGTGTGCCGGGGGGATGCAGCCGACCTGCAGCAGTGGGTACGGGGGCCACTGCGAGGACGCCGAGCAGGTGGACGCCGTCCTTGGCGTCTGGACGGCGTCCTGGGCGCCTGGACGCCGACTTGGGCGTCTGCTCGGCGTCCTGGGCGCCTGGACGCCGACCTGGGCGCCTGGACGGCGTCCTGGGCGAGTGGACGCCGACCCTAGACGCCGGGCGGTGTAGCCGGCGGCCGGCTGGGCTGGACGATCAGGGGGGGGTTGCCCGGTCGTTGGGATACCCGGGCGACGTGTGCGAAAGTCGCCGGGATGGTTTCTGCGAAGGCGACCTCGGGGGTGGTATCCCGAGGTCGACGTGGCTGGTGGGCGCAGTCGCTGGCGTGGAGTCTGCTAGGCGTCTGCGCTGTGCTCGTGACGAGGTGTGGAGCACCAACCAGCTGCACGCACCTGCAAAGCAAGTGCACCGTTGTCCTGCAAGTGCAACGCTATGCAGCCGACTTGCTGCAGCGTTGGCACACCGTAGACTTACAACGTTGGCAAGTCGCTACTTTGCTACGCTGGAGCTGTGCAAGCTCTGCTGCGCTGGAACGCGGTCGACCGTGCTGTGCTGGAGGTCGACCAGCAGCCTAGCTAGCTCTGATGTAGTGTGGGTTGCCAATGTTGTTGCTATCATTCTGAACCATTGTTGTGAACCTTTGCTAGTGGAACTCTTGCCAATTTTCCCCGTAGATGCGCAAGTAGTGTGAGCACAAGCAAACGACTAAGGAACGAACGCAGAGATCACTCCTACCCCGTGCCTAGCCCGCTGTCTAGCTCCCGTTGAAAGAGTCATCTCCGCATGGTGCGGTGAGCGTGGACGGCCCCACAACGATACCTTCGATCTAGCCGACTTTGCACTTACCTCCTGTGTTCGTAGGCCGGCAGCTCTGCGGTAGTCACCATGGTAGGAGCCGTAGGTGACGTCGGAGTGGTGGACACCCTGGAGGCACGGCTGGAGGATGCGAGGAGACGCCATCAGGCGGGCGAGTATGGGGAGACGCTCCCCATGGCGGTCGTCGAGGCTGGCATCCGCGCCGTGTGGGCAGCAGAGCACCCTTCTCGACCGGCCACTCCTCGACCGGTGAACAACGAGGGCGGCGTCGACGTGGGCGTCAACGCCGGTGACCAAGTCGGCAGCAGTGCGGGAGGCACGTCGAGGCCGAGAGGAGTGATACACGCCGGTGAAGTCGGCGGCGTTCAGGCGCGAGGAATGCAGTCGTCGGCGGCTGCAGGGGCCTCGCAGGGCGACGTCGGAGGCCGACGAAGCGGATTGGCGCCGATGTCGGCGAATCACGTGACAGCGGGAGGGATCGCACTGAGCTACGGCTACTTCAAGTTTACGCCGGATAGGATCTCGGTCACCCCCCTGCTGGTCGGTCGCTCCGACATCCTCACATGGAAGGAAGCCATCGAGCCCCAACTGGAGATGGCCGGGCTGATGGGCTTCGCCGCCGGCACCGTGGCAATGCCGTCGGAGAACTACCCCGACCTGCGTGCGGAGTTTCGCGTTGTGCAGCTGCTGACCTTCACGGTCATTTCGCGGTGCTGCTCGCCGGGCGTGCAGATCGCCTTGAAGCCGTGCAGGGACTACCTGGCTCGACGCTGGTCACCAGGCATGGCGCTTCATCGAGTCGACGTACTAGGTCACAGATCACTTGTACATCGGCCAGCTGGAGGAGCAGATGACGCACCTGCGGATGGGCGAGAAGGAGACGGCGACCGATTACTGCAGCTGGGCTCGGCGACTTCTCGCCACCATGAGGATGGCCGGCGTGCAGTACTCCACGGCGTCCTACATCACGCACTTCCTAAAGGGGCTCCCGAGCGGCTACAACCTGTTGAAGCGACTGATGGTGGCGCCGGGCACGAGGGAGTCGCTCAACGAGGACTCACTGACCTCGTTCATCCTCCGAGACGAGGCGATGCAGGAGGTCGAGAAGACCACGGAGCTCCTACCGAAGGCGAACTACGTCGCCCCGGTGAAGCAAGGTAGCCGACCGG